GGTAGACACCAATTCCTTTGTATTTTATTATCTAGTCTCACCATTCACTTGAAAGAAGCTGGAAAATTGACCATTAATGTCAAGACTTATGGAGTGATGCAACAAAGTGTTTTGTTAACTAAACACACATCAAGGCTTAGACTTATGGTGGCAATTCACAGCTTTCCTGAGACAGCTGGAAATTAAAAGGAAGCAGAATCTGAAGACTTTTACGATCTTTTTACTAAACATAAATTAGACATGAAGGATAATTTTCTACATACAGATTTATAATTACCTGAAAATTCAGGCTTACAAATAGGGATAATTCTTTCAGATACATATTTTCCTTTCTAAAATCAGCTTGTTTCCCCATTCAATAACAACTCCTTGGTGGGCAGTTTTCTACCCTGAAAACATTGCTCATTTGTAAACTACTTTTGTATCTCCATACAGTGAAATGTCATAAGTTTTCCTGTTTAAAGCCAAAGTGTAAGTCTAGAATCTTAAATCACACAGTAGGACAGCTACCCATCAGGAACACTTAGCATAGCCTGGAGAAGAGGAAAATATCATGGGCAAAGACCAGTAACACATCCCTCCCTGCAAAATAAAAGCATTTTTACTCAACTGGTAGCTTTTGGAGTAGATCTGACCAGTAAGAGAAAGCCCACCAATATCCACCTAAAATGAAATGGTAAAGTCAGAGGCTGCCTTGTCCAGTGCTCCCACATAGCTAGGTAATTGAGATCCCAAATTATCATTATTTCCACTAATACCTTGCATCCTTGGTATTAGAAATGCTGAACTACTGTTTATTACTGTTACTCAGAGTGAGGTGCTTTAATAAGGCTCAGAGTGAAAGGGCATTAAAAATCAAGAAACCTGACTTTTATTGTTTGCATTTGTCAGAGGTCCTAACACCAGAGTTATTCTGTATTCAGTCTACTATAAAAAGAATTAATAGTTCCCTAGATGTGAATGATTGATTACACTCCTCGATTTCTAATTTTGCCTGAGTAAATATTTCAGGTTCTGGTCTTGAGGTTGCAAAATAAATCATAATACAATTATACCTTGCCAGTGTTTCAGAGGAAAAAAGCATTAATTTATTATTACAGTAACAGAAGCCTAAGGTTCATCAGCAAGACAAACAAATTAACTTCTATCTGTGCATTTAATTCCAGATTAAAATGGTTAAACTCAGAATTTAAAACTGACCTACTTAATTCTGGAAGATGAGGAGGCCAGTGCTTATAGACACAAGGATCATGCAGCAGGACAAGCACTTGTCCATTTGGAAGGCAGCTACTTGGAAGCCATCAAAAAGATCAAGGCAAACAGTGTGCACTGAAGCATTGCATCTATGACCACAGATGCAATAAATTGCTTTATTTTCCATAATGAAAGTGTAATTTGTAAAGCCAGTGCTTGGAACTCAAGCCAGTGAATTTATGTTGTAAGGTACCTGATTTTTTGCTGTCATCCTAAAAATCTGTCTGGGGAAGACGGAATTCAAAAGCTGAGATTAACTCAAATTCCAGAGCAAGACTGCCAAGGCAGGTTGGATGTAAACTGTGTGACAGAAGACAAAAACCCTTAATGGTATGTGATAATTTTGTATGTTTGCACTTGGGAGTGTAATTTCCTTGTAATCTCACCACTGTCCAGCTCCAGAGATGCCTGCCTCTTCCCTTCCTTTCCTTAGGCACATAGGTAATAACTCTCCTCTAGTGCATAAGATGGAGTTGGCCTCAGCCAGCATGCAGAAGCAGAGAAGTGAAATTTGGAAAGGCTGAATTAGCTCACTTTTGATTTACTCAAGTTAAAGCATGAAGACTTGATCCTGAATTCACCCTCAGATGCAAGAAGCAGACACTTCTCTCGGACACTTTCCTACCCACCCTGTTGCTAGAGAAACTAGGCTTTATTCAACAGCCATGACAGATAATAATCTAGCTATTTAAGTTAATGCATACCCACTCAGCCAGAGCAAGACTCTGCCTGGCAGTAATCATGACCCAGACCCATAACAGCACTTAATGTCACCAGTCATCTAAATTTACTGTAATAAATGGAATATTTCAGTGGATCTCTAATTATTTCTATTATGAGAGCATAAAAGGCAGAGACCTGGCAAATCTAAATCACACATTGAATGGCAATAGCTCTGCTGCCCATTTGCGTGGCAGAAGGGGTGAACTGCACAGAGCAGAATGTGACAAGCTCCCACTGCATTTCTTTTCTCTCACCCATTTTTGTCAATCAAAACTTGATCCAGGAGACATCCATGTTACAACATGCATATTGTCAGAAAGCAAAGGGAACTGCAGCTGGAAGAAGCCAGAGTTCATGCCTGCTCTGGACAGCAGGTAGTCTCTCAATATGAATTGCTTTCAGCCTTCTAGTCTTTTTTTTTTTTTTTTTTTCTTTTTTTAAGATCAGAATTATTCACCAACAATCTTTTTTTTTTAAAGGAAA